CAGGCCCCAGATCCCCCCCTGCACCTCTCGGTAGAGGTTATTTATAAAGGTCTCTGCCTTCCAGCATCACCAAAATGAGGTGTTTATTCCCTATTTTCGAGGGGGGACCCACTCATTTTGGGGGGATACCACCCATTTCAGGGGAGGAACAGCCATTCTGGGGGGGGGACCCATGCATTATTAGAGGGTGTACCCCCACTTAGGAGGTGTTTGTTCCCCATTTGAGCAGCACGCGCTGCCTCACTGCACAAACTCGGCTCCGAATATCAGCAATAAACGCGCGTGTGTGTGTGTGCGCGGTTACGGGCAGCAAAACAGGTCTCGCCCGCTGCCTGAGCCGCTCCGGTGCGATTAAATCCATCGGGGAAAGCGAGAAGCGCAAAAATACCCTTCTCAACTTACCGGTTTTTGAGCTGACAGGCGGCCGAATCCCTGCAGCGGGATTTGTGTCTCGTTGGGTTGATTTTTTTTTTTTTTTTTCTGAGTTAAGAAATGAAGCTGCTGCAGGTAAAGCTTTCAAATGCGCAATTCTGATGGTAAAATTGGGTGAGTGGATGTTTTATGCGGATTGTTTTCCTGCTTCCGGTTACCTTCGCTTCCCCCGCCGGTGTTCAATTGTCCCTCCCGGCACGGATGGAGTTAGAGCCGCGCGCCTGTGATTCATTTCCAGCTCTTTATTAGTGCTTTTTAATGAGATGTTAAATTAATACCTGGTTTGCTGGATGAAATTTCTCATGGTTCGCAGTGGGGGAGTCAACTGGAGCCCCTTCCCCTCCTTCCTATCCCCACCGCCTCGCTGGAGGCGGCCCCGTGGAAGCCGGGGGAGGGTGACTTTGAACTTCCAGATACCCCCAGTGCCAACTACAGACCCGGTTATGGACGGGCAGAGCCCACGTACGCTTGAATTTGGGTGGGATCCCCCTCGCCGTGGGGTTACGTCCTCGTTCGCTGGCGGGATGTGGCATTAATAAAAAGACTTTCTAGTAACACCCCCCACCACCACCACCACCAAATTTCGCTTTAAATAATGAACCTGTGCAGCCTGTTTTGTTATCTCGGCTGCTTTGGTGTGGCGGAGGTGTTTATTTAACTTTGAATTTCCACGGTAGTAATAGTTTATAACGTGAAATACGTGACCAGGCCAACGGCTGCTGTATAAAGGAGGTTCGTTTTCTAGAGCCTAATTAAAAACTCCCCGCTGTGCTCCGGTTTCTGTCGAGAGCTGTCTTTTTAAACCTCGAAGGAAAACGCTGAGCGGGAGCAGAGCAGGGGATGTCGTCATCCCGGTTGCTCTGGGAAGTGATTTGGGTGGAAAAGAGGGGTTTTCTGGTCCTCAGCGCTTGCCTCTCTCCCTCCCCTCGCAGATTATTGCATGAACCCGCAGACAGTTCTGCTGCTCCGGGTTATCGCCGCCTTCTGCTTCCTGGGAATTATCTGCAGCCTCTCGGCTTTCCTCCTGGACGTCTTCGGCCCCAAGCACCCGGCGTTAAAGATCACTCGCCGCTACGCTTTCGCTCACATCCTCACAGGTAAATCCCCGCGGACGCTGGAGGAAAACCCTGGGTTTCATTTTTAGCAGCTCCGACGCTCAAAGGGAAGGGAAAAAAAGCCTTTAAAGGGGGTTTTTTTGAGCCTTTGGTTTGGAGCTGCAGCGCCCATCCTACCCGCAGAGCTTCCCCTTCGCAGCGTTGTGCGTCTGAAGTGCAACAGAAGCCTCACGCAGCTGAAATTGCGGTGAAATTTTGGGGGAAGAGGAGGAGGATGAACATGAAGTGTCTGTTAATGGGTCTTATTTTTCAAAGAGATCCCGTAGCGCCTTTCTGAGGAAGAAGGGCGTCTCCTCTAGCTCCTGAGGTTGAAGGAGCTTTAATATCCCTTATCCCTGCCAGAATTACCCACGTCAGATCTGAGCGGCTCAGGGAAAGTCCGAGCTGTCAGCCTGCCCCAAACACCGAGCGCCGATTTGTCCCTGCTGCTCCTCCTAGGTCGCAAAAAAAAAAAAAACCAAACCCCAAAACCCCAAAAACCCTTTCCAAACCGTTCAGCTTCGGTTTGTGTCGCCGGTCGCCCCGCTCGGCGGGGTTTGTCCTCAGCCTGTGATCCTCCACCGCAGTTTTTCCCCCCCTCTCAGGCTGGATTTTGGGCATCCGCTGCCCCTTTTTCACCGCAGGCTCTCGCTTTCTGCCTGCGCTCGGTGGATCCGCCGTGAAACGAACTTGCCGCTTTATTTTTCCGCTGGGTTTTTAGCGTCTCTCCCGATCTCCTCTCTCTCTCTCTCTCTCTCAGTCTTGCAGTGTGCCACCGTCATCGGATTTTGCTACTGGGCCTCGGAGCTGATCCTCGCCCAACAACAGCAGCACAAAAAGTACCACGGTTCCCAAGTCTACGTCACCTTCGCCGTCAGCTTCTACCTGGTGGCGGGCGCCGGCGGAGCCTCCATCCTCGCCACCGCCGCCAACCTCCTGCGTCACTACCCCACCGAGGAAGAGGAGCAAGCCCTGGAGCTCCTCTCCGAGATGGAGGAGAACGAACCTTACCCGGCCGAGTACGAAGTGATCAACCAATTCCAGCCGCCGCCGGCGTACACCCCCTGATGCCGCCGGCACCGGGACGCCGTCGAGGCTTTCTCCCACCTCCAAACATCACTTTTTCGGCACCTCCTTCACACTTCTGATCTCTCAGAGAACTTTTCGGGTCAGATGACTGGCTTTTTTTTCTTCCTACCCCTTTAATTTTATTAACTCCATGGCGTGATTTTTAACCCTGCACCGGCTCGGCTGGCCGAAATAACGACGGCGTCATTCCCCTGCGTGGCTTCTCTCCGGCACGAGGGGCGGTGGGATCCGCTCTGCTCCGTCGCAGATCTCATCCCTGCCCTGCGCCGGGAAGGAGGGGGAAATTCGCGCTGGATTCCCAGCCCGGCACGCCGTGGATTCTGTCCCTCCTTCACCGAGGCGTAACATACACCTGGAGAAAGGTGTGGTGCGCGCGTGTGTATATATTTCTATATATAGATAAGGGGAAGCGCCCGCTGCGGTGGGATGGTGGGAGAGGAACGGCTGCACGGCAGGAGGAAGGTAGAGCAAAACTCCCCCCGTCGCTCTATCTGCTCCTCTTTTCTGACCGGCGCTGACCACAACGAGCATTTTGCACTTTATTTCAGGCTCGGGGGAGGCCGGTGACGGTTTCAGGGGCGGCTACCGGCGACTGTCACCGTCGTAAAACCCCCGGGTGAGGGTTGCAAGCGGGCGGCACAGCGTGGGCTTATGTCAAAGAAGCTTTTCT